GCAAACCCCACACCAAAAATAGTGTCGACATACCTTCTGGGTGAATGTCACCAAGAGAGATTCTGTGTGCCATAGATTTCATTCCAAGGTCGGTTGTTCTAAACAGACTTGTTTATCGAATATGCCAACAAGGCACAAAAAGTAGGGGAAGCATGTTACATATTTGGCTCAAGGCTTGGTTCGTGAAAATACTTGTTTATGTGCAGTTCCAACTCTAGTTGTGCAAAAAAATGATGGTTACTTATTCTATCAGAATATGCTATACAATAATGTGTATTTCAAAATTGTAAGAAATTGGCGTGAGGGTAGATTTTGTAGTGGAGTTGCCCCGACGTCAATAGCCGCATTCAGGAAGTTCGGATTTAATATTAAGGCTTTGTTGAGGGATTTTGTGTGTTGAAGTTAGATTTCAAGATTCCTCCTCTGCAAAGGAGATGAATGAGAATTATTAAGTTTCAAAAGTGTAGAGCGACTTGAGAGTGGTGTAATTTGCACAATTCTTCACATTTTTCATGGTGGATATCTTAGTATGATGTGGCTACGTGGTTTTTTCCTGTTCTCAATTTTTTCCAAGTTAAATCTTAGTATTCTTTGTATTTTCGGTGTTTTTTTTGTTTTATGTGATTCTATTCTAAGTTTTATTTTGGATCTCTCGAATCAGTTGTGCACTTCTATTTTAAGTTTCGTTTCAGATCTCTCAATTCGATCTCTGCATCCCTCCCAACAGAATCATTAAAATCCTCAACTCTCACTCGGTGATGTTCTCACTCAAACAAAATAAAATTGGCTAGGCTTCTTCGTGAAGTTAACTAGTTAGAAATTTATGCAATCACCATAAACTTGCAAATAATGTCGTTTGCACTAATTATTAGCATGAATCAATACTAATCATAAGAATGAAATTAAATAACCTTCAAACATTAGAGAGTGATACTGGAGAAACAAATACACCAAAACCAAGGCTTTCTTCTCTGTGAACAAAAAAATAAAAGATAAAAAAAAGTAGTTGTCCCATCAATCATTGATGATGATCCTCCAAGTTTTTGCTTTCATACCAAAGTTAAAGGCACAAGAGGTTTTATAGGCGAAAAGATGCCTACAAATGATCGTTGAGCATTATTTTAGGATGTGGAGATGTGATTTGTAGTTGCTAAAGGATTTGAGAGACATAGGAGATCAAAATAACTATATGAAATAAAACACTTTCATAGAGAATAAGATAACCATTCACCAAGCTAAACCAGAGGAGTCAACCACAAAGCTCCAACCCAATGGATAACAATTACAAATTTTAATCAAAACCAAAACTTCCTTTTTCATTTCATTCCAAAGCCTTAAATAAGGATTACAATGACTATTTAGCTTCTATAATTTTAAAAAAAAAAAGAGAGAGAAAGTGAGAATAGGGAGCCAAAGCGGTCAACACCATTGAAAAGAAATTTTCAATTGAACGCATTTACTTTATCCAATGCAAGGAATTTAGTTTGCCAGCAAACATATTCCCGGGATGATTTAAAGAGAGCAAGAAAATATGAAATTCTAAATTTAAATTTTAAACATGAATTTTAAATTTTAAAATTCAAATTATAATAAATAATTTCTTCATGCAAGTTCGTATTGATTGTGCTCTCATGATGAGTTCTGATTTTGGTCAATTAATGGCTCTTTTTGGGCTCTTGCGATGAGTTCTTTTCTAACTTAATCACCTTAATATTATACATTACCAAGAGAAGATGAATTGTATTCTCTAATACTTGTGCCAAGGATAGGTAGTATTCTACTGTCGGTTCATTGCAGACAGTAGTTTTGTTGGTTGTTTAGCCACTAGTTCTTTCCTCCACTAAAGGAGTCCATAAGGTTAATAAGCTAAAGGCTAGTTTGGGATCAATTTTATTTTTTATTTTTACTTTTTCCTTTGTTTTTAAAAACATGTTTGTTTAATATGCTCTTTCTTTGCTTTAAAAAAATAAACATGTTTTTAAAACACAATGTATTTTTAGTGTTTTGAAAAACAATCATATCTTAATCAAACATACCAAACATGTTTTGTTTCAAATAAAAACATAAACAAAACAAAGAAAAATAAAAAATAAAAAAATAAAACTAATCCCAAACGGCCCCCAAGCATTGTGCTAACTATATATTCTTACCATTGTTCTATTGTATGTGTTGGCTAATCTTTTACCTCTTCATTCTCCAATCAAAAGAAATAATGTGTTCCCACTTCAGAAGCAGGACACGAGCTGTGCGGCTCTCGCGATCACGGGAAACAATCCTATTTTATCTTGATTTCCTTCTCTATGTTTTATTTCCACTTATCCTTCATTCTTCTTTAGTTATTTCATATATATGTGTTGTATTAGAGTTTAGAAGTGAATTTTAGCACGAGTTTGTTTGAGACTGTCGTCGGCGTCTGTTTTCTCTCTTCGAGGGATGTATATGAGGGATTGGGTGATGCTCTGGTTATATCTCTCTCCTGATATGATGGCTATATTCTCTTATCCCCTTTTGCATCCTCCAACATGTTTCCCGGCCGCCGCTTCCCGTGCAGCTGCCCGGAACAACCACTTTGTGTTGTTTTCAATAGTTCCTCCTTTCCAGCCTCTTTCCCCGCCCCTTCGTTGTTGTTCCAACTGTCCATATCCATTTCCATTGTCACCTCGCTGTTACTCCGACCACGAGGAATGCCCCTCTACAGCCTTGGCTATTGTTCCAATTGTTCTGAACGCACAATCCTCCCCACTTGATGCCATCGATGTTTCAGTCCTCCATACCCACTATCATTGTTGTTCAAGCCCTCCATCTTTGTTGTCATCATCCCAAACAGCCGTGCGACGTCGATATCTCTGTGTACTTGTTGTCCGGAACCCAGAAAATTGTTGTCTTGTTGTTTTCTGCTTGCCAACAAACTCGCCCACCATCCTGCCACCTTCCATATCCTTGCCAATCACCAACATCATCCCCAGATTCACCCTAGCCATGTGTCATGAGTCGCGTTATTATTTCCTATCTCAATGTGTTCGGTTTCGTGCTATTATGTTTTCCCTTTCAAGAGTGTTGGATAACCATCTATTTATTTTCCGTAATAAAATTTGTTTTTTCCTAATGTGGTTTTGGTTAACTCCGGTTTCATTATGGTTTTTGCTTTGTTTCCTTAAGAGTTTAATTACTTATCCACTAATTCTTAGTATAATAGCAGAAACCAAAAACTTTCGTCTTTAGCGCAGTAGAGTTAGAATAAACACTTGCTGTAGCTCAAACTTGGTCTTTTTATTGGAATCCTAAATTTGACAAATCAAAGCTTATTTCAAACCAAATTCTAGGCTTTTATTAAACTAATCATGCTGGGTCTTATTATTATAAATAAGACTTCTGAGACATAAATTTCAGATCATTAACAAATACCACTTTCTACTCAAACTTGCGTTTATTGCTAAATGCAAAGTTTTATAGTGCGGAGCAAGTATTAAAGAGAACATTTAGGATAGGAAAGTTTTCATATTAAACCAACAAGAAGTCTGGATCTTCTTTAATGATTTCTTACTATTTCAATTAACATACTTTGTGATTGGATTTGTGTATGTGAATGTGATTTGGCCAAATCTACCAATAGCTATTCTTTCTTATTGAGGTGCGAATCTTAATCAAAGTATAATTTTATTCATTTCAAATTTCATAGAAAATTTTTGTTTTTGATGTTTTCTTCTTTATCATATAGGATAAATTTAATTTTTTTCTAACGTTAATCTAAAGAGACAGATTCTGCTTAATTAAATTAATTAATAAATTATGAAATGGATCTTTCATGCACTTATTTTGTGTATCTCGTCATAAATTTGCATTAAGAAAAACCTTAAACATAAGATGACTTTCATCAGAGTTGCTCTCTATTCCTTTAGCTAGACTGCATTTAATATCAGAACCAATTGTCCTTCCACCACCCCATCTCTTCCGCCAAACCTAGAAAACTAGAATGGAGTAGTCATCGAGTATAAATCAACAAAACAAAAGAAGAATAGCATTCACAAGCATGAAGAAGTCACTCTCCACTCTTTTATACGAACGACAGCAAAAAGGCAAGAAGTGAAGGTGCGAAGCAAAAGAGCTGCTAACTATAAAAGAGTATAGAAATCCAGTCCAGGCAAAGAAAACACAAGTCAAGAGTAATGACACTGACAGGCTACCGTAGGCATTCATTTCCGGGGAGCATTTCTTCTCCATGCCACAGATAGCCACAGTGATAGCTATGTTTGTTTTTGAAATAGGGAAAAAACTGAAACTTTCATCGAAGATCCAACAAGGTAGGTAAAAAAAGGCACAAAAGATATAGCATCAAACCACATATCCATACACACCGGCACAAAATGGAGCAGCAAAGAGAAATAATAGACACGTTCTAGAGGTTGTCTGAAGCATGATGATCACAATGAATGTCCCAAAACACTTATGAGAGCAAGCAGTTCTGACAACTGCACAATTGATCAATAGGATATCATCGAGAGTATTGAATTGAAAATTTCCTCATAAGATGTTGAAAAGAGATGATAGTGGGATCCTCTCATTGAAGGTGTTTGAATATATATGTTTTCTGAATGATAACAAGCCATCAATAGGGAAGCAGGATTCAAGAGCTGTGAAATGTGTTCATAGGTGACCTGCTAAAACCACATAGAGAAGAAACTATTAGTAAGCATGGATGTGTAATTTAGAGAATTTGAACCATAACACAGCCAGGAGGAGACCTCACCATTATGTGACAAGCCAAATACTGGAGATATGAGGGATGGGGTGAGTAGTAATGGAGAGAGAGTGGTACACGTGGGAGCAATAATTTGTCCAGTGATGTGGGATGAATTAGTTGAGAAACCGAAAAATAAGAAGAGTGAACCCAAGCGTGGTGGGATTCAGGTTGAAGGTGAGCTAAGGATACACAAAAAAAAGCAAAATAAGAAAATGGTGTCTGTAGTGTCACTTGTGCAGATGGCAAAAGATCCACCTCGAGATACTGAATGTTTGTATGGGGCAAATTGGTCTCTTGGAAGAGCAAGAAATAGTCTGTAGTAGCGAGGACAACGACAGAGGAAGCTTACAAGGCCATGGCCTTAGAAGTTGCCGAGATAATGTCGTTGGGAGCCTTGTTGGTGCAACTCAAGATGGACCAAGAAACTCAAATGTAATTGAGGTGCGACAACAAGTCAGCAATCAGCATTGCCAACAAATCAGCATTGTCAACAACCAGATGCAACACGATAGAACCAAAAATGTGAAGATTAATAGATCCTTCATCAAAAAAAAATTGAATAACGGTCTGCTGAAGCTAAGTCATGCAGCCACTTAACGGGAAGTGGTTGACTGCCTCACCAAGGGACTTAGTTCATTAAATTTGTCTCATCAAGGGACTTAGTTCATTAAATTTGTCTCATCAAGGGAGTCAGTTCATTAAATTTGTCAAGGTTATGTGACAAGATGGGCTTAGTAAATATCTTTTGCCCATCTTGAAGAGAAGTGTTGAGAATTGGAACTAATTTAGGGTCCTGTTGGTAAAAAAGGAATATTGAAGAAGTCTAGGGGTTTATTTGTAAAACATTGTAATACCCTATTTAAGCCCCATGTTAGGAAGGTAAAAAGTAGGTTTTAAACAATTCTTTCTTTTATATATAATATATACATCCATTCTTGTTGACTGCTAATTTAATTTACACACAAAAATATATATAAGAAACCTCTAAACTGCAAGACGATAATAAGTTCCTACCAAGGTTAAGAATCTTAAAAGAAAAGAAAGCAAAAACTAATAAAAACCATTAAAAAGTAAAATATCATTCACATCACCTGCCCTAAAAAACCAGTTGTTCCACTTTCAACTAAAGGGACCCCCGCAGCTAAGCATAGACGATTAACATGTCTTCTGGCATCCAGGTTATCAAGTCCATTTAGGACCACACTAAACTGCCTGAAAAACTCAACATTGAACTCCGGATTTTTGACATTTGCATGGTACGGTGTTATGTTTATATGAGGCCTAAATTTAAGGACAGCGTCTCGAGCAACCTGATCAGCATAACATGAATAAAATATAAGAATTGAATCATTGACATGGAAAGTGTAACGATATAATAATTGGAACAATTACATACATAGCACTCAAAACATTGCTATTTACAAATCTCACACCCTCTTTCATCCATTTTTCAAATATCTCACTCAAATATCAAAATTCACGATAAAATTCCAACCCATTTTTCATTTTTATCATATTCTTAATGGTTTGATCATGGCACATGAATACTAAATGGTTTGATAATTAAAAAAATCACCTGGATGATAGTGTTGTAAATAGTAATAGTTCGAGTGTTGTTCATGTAATTATCACATAATAAGTTAGCAAGCAGAAGGAAACATACCCTAGCCTTTGATTGGCCCACATGACACCGCCGGAACAAAAATTGCCTATTTAAATTGCTCACTTCAATTGTGTCCATATCAATCTGAAAGAAACAGAAATTTTAAGGGATTGTTGAATGTTCAATAAAATGCTTATCGAACGAAAAGAGAAAAACACTTACGAATGCACAATATATAATTCTATCAAACATGAAAATCATGATAGACAAGAAATGCCACATTATACAATTGGGTATGAATTGCCTTGATTGATATCAAAAGACTTAAATCTTATCACTTTTGCAAAATGGATCGATTCAACACATTTGATGGGTCAAATTTACCCAAAAAATTAGAATTTCTATGACTTATGCGAATAAGAAGGACAAAAGACAATGGACAACAAATGTGAAGTTGTGCAAATCGGGTCCAAAATGCCATGATAGCATCGAACTTGCTCAAATGTCACGCGTTCACAAAATAAACTGCACTAACGAATAAGAAACATCAAAAATTCCTAAAATATCAATACCCATATTACATAGTTCCCTGCACATAAGTGAAATGCGAACTTTACCTGTACATAGGTTGAAGACCCCAATTTGAGAGGCATAAAAACAGAGAATACATGAGAAGGAATCAATACACAACTAATTCATTTTAAAATATAACATTATTATAACTATATTATTATTCACAAAAAGAATATTATTATTATTATTATTATTATTATTATTATTATTTTAAAAGCTCAATTCAAAAAATTTAATATTGTTATATCTTACAGCTTAAAAAAGATCCCATCCTATCAGATCTCCACAACATAAGTTGCCAACACTCCTCCATTCCTAGATCTCCATCCTAGCTCTTGTAGCTGCAATCCCGTCACTTAGTTGTCACATAATTGTCATCACAGCCTCCCATGAGGTAGACCGCAAAAAATAGTTTCAATGCAACGTAAAAACATATGTATTAGCATGTCTCCTTGATGCAGAGAGGAAAGCTTGATTTGCAATGTTTTGGGTGCAAGTACTGAAAACCCATGCATGTGTTTTTAAGCATGGTGAATCAAAGACCACAGCACATAGCAGGAAAACTCAGTCATGCATGACAATTTTTATGCATATATAGTGCTTCAAGATATTGATCATGCACTCTTTTTTAAGTGTTAAAGAAAGCCAAAATACTTCCCATAGATGCCCTCTATGAGCGAAAAAAATTTGCGTACATAAGGCGTACGCAGAGCTGCGTACGTCTGTAACCTGCAAACAAGTTACAATGAGGATTTCAGGAAGTTATAACCGCGTTATACCCCCTGTAACCTCCCTGTAACCTACCTGTAACCTACCTGTACCTTCAAGTAAGCTCCGCGCTTCTGTTTTCATATATAGGTTGGTTACAGGGATGTTACAGGAGATATAACGCGGTTATAATCTCCTGAAATCCTCCTTGTAACTTGTTTGCAGGTTACAGAAGTACGCAGCTCTGCGTACGTCTTATGTACGCAAATTTTTTCCCTCTATGAGAGAGAGATGTTGAGAAATTATCAGCATTTTATAGAACCTCACTTAAAAAGTACAAAAAAATTGACTTCTAGAATTAAATGGCATAGCAAAAATAAATCAATAAATGTAAATTTGTCAAATGAAGGACCAAAGCACGCTTCCATTTCACAATCTATAACAGCAAAGGGATTGACAAGGTGAAAAAGGCAAAATTGAACATAAACAAAACAGGATTTAAAGGAGACTTGAAAACCCGCTTGCATGTAATGAAGAAAACCTCCTAGCACTCCAAATTATTAGAGCACATAATGAAATGACCTTGACATTGAATAAAAAATCAACTTAATGGACTCTCTATTTATAAGAGAGAAAAGATTCATTCTGGAACTTGAATAAAACAAATTAGATACGGATTAAAATAAAATATCTTGAAAACACCAGAAGGAATAAAATATCTAAACATTGCAATGAAATCTGGAAACTACCGAGAGCAAGCAATAGAATGTGATGCTTAATGCTCAAAATTATAAGATTTTTGACCATTTTAATAAAAGACTCTCACATAAATAGCCAAATCCAGAAAGATTTCAACTCCTCTCCACGTATCACAAAATAGATTTCAACTATGACACGACATTTTGAAAATAATCGAAGCATCTCAGAAGAAAAAGTTACACATTAGTTCTGATTAAACACGCCAATGTCCAAGCCTAAAATCAAAATGCTTTGCACACTAAAGCAAACAATATATGACAGCATGTGCACCGACCAATATGTTAGATGCACGAATATATGGTCGGAGAATGCTTCATCGACAAGAAAAAGATAAATTCTCCATGCCTGAAAAATGCCAACAAGTATTCCATACCAAATTCGATCAAATACAATGGAAAGCGGCAGGCAATGGATGCATCGTCTCAAAAACTTTCTTAATTTGTTTAGCATAAAATTAAATACACTCAAAATGTTACTTGTAAAAAGAATAGATTGAATTGATGCGTCCAAAGCATCAAGATTATCAAAAAAGGGACTTTCATTTGATCAAACGCAATGAACAAGATTGACTATGAACTCGATGTCTCAGAAAACGGGTTTGAAATCCCTCGTTCGGGGTCTATATTTCTCAAACTTCATCCATTTTATGAAATCGACTATGATGATGTGTCCTAAACATCAAAATTATCTCAACTAGAAACCCATAATGCACAAGTCCCACATAGAAGCAAAAATATAAAATTTACTAGCTTGCAAAATGACACAAATTTGAGATACACGAAATAAGAAGATATGCAAAAAAGGATATACACGCATAAATAATTCATTTTTTAATAATGACATTATTATTATTATTATTATTATTATTATTATTATTATTATTATTATTATTATTATTATTATTATTATCCATTTAAAAAACATATTAAATATTAATTGTATCTATCCCAAATCCATAGTGATATCTCTGATTCGACACCATGAGTACCCAACAGAAACAATCAAGCTGAATTTGTTTCTATTAAAATAACATAATCGTACTAATAACCTATATTAATCACCCTCACGCCTCACAGATCTCTCACACTATTCCTCTCCCGTCTACATCACTTACTCGCTCACAACTGCAACCTCAATATTGGTTCCCTCTCGAATTTTTCCAGCCTGCTTCCCTCGACTCTCACCTAATCTCCCAATCGCATGCCATACGCTCGTTCATGATGTCTCCCTCTCATGTTCTCGCATAGTCTGCACTCTTTTGCTCCACTCACCTAGCTCACATCGATTTTGCCTCAGTAGTCGACCTCTCTTATTTCTATCTCATATTCCCTCCTTTCACTCTTTCACTCTTTCACTCATGATATCTAACAATAAACCATCACCCTCTTCAATTAAAATAAAATAATAATACTAATAACCTATATTAAACTCCCTTGTTCCTCAAAGATCTTTCACACAATTCCTCTCCCGTCGCAATCACTTGCTTGCTCACAACTGCAACCTCAATATTGCCTCCCAATCGAGTTTTTCCAACCCGCTTCCCTCGACTCTCACCTACTCTCCCTATCACATGCCATACGCCTGTTCATGATGTCTCCCTCTCATATTCTTGCATAATCCGCACCCTTGTGCTCCACTCACCTAGCTCACATTGATTTTGCCCCAGTAGTCGACCTCTCTTATTTCTATCTCGTCTTCCCTCCTTTCGCTCTTTCACTCATGCTATCTAACAATAAACCATCACCCTCTTCAATCCGCTCCAACCAGAAAGCTCATCTCGCCTTTCACGTCTACATAAGCTACACGTTAAGAACCATCCTAAATCAGCTAAACACCTACTCTTTTCGTCAATAGCAACCAAACAGCGAACAAATCACAACATCAGCTTACCTTAATCGTCAAATCACAGCATTTGTAACCAAACCAAGCAAACTCCTTTGTTCCCTCCTCATCACTCTCACCTCAAAAGCACGCCATCAGCCTATCCTTCGTTGCTGACAGCACCAACTAGTCAATCGCCTAACAGCCAGCACACCCGTTGTGTTTCTCTCTACCTTCTTGCTCCCTCTCGATCCCTTAGGATCTGTTTGGGGCAACTGCAGCTTGACTACCCCAGAAACCTGTTGCGGGGAACCTGCTCCTTGGAAGTTGGTTGGTTGTTTGTATCAGTTGTGTGAAAATAGTTGTCAACTGTTTCTGGACAAATGACTATTCTGCCCCAATTTAGTAATTTTGTTTGTAACAAAACTATCATAGTCATATATTTGATACTTCAGAAGAAAAAAACTTACTTCATAACATGTGTGATGTCACTTAGAAGGCGTACACCCACTGTAAAAACTAAAAAAAATAAAAAAGATAGATACTACGAACTTATTAGGAAACTCAAGTCGTGAAGGGATCCATATGGAAATTATGTCTGTTTCTCAGGATCACATAATTATCAAAAAATTAATTTACTCAGATTAAATTACTTTGAGAATTGAGATTAGCTTTAAAAAACAATTTACTTCTTTAATCAATTTCTATTTATTGTTATCGAAATTTACGAATGTGCTAACCCTAATTTATGCAAGCCTATCATGAACTTCATCTAATAAACGCCTAAAGAAATCCCTATCATTGAACACCATACAACACATAAATATCTCTTGAACGGCTAAAACAAAAAAATCAGTAAATAGGTTGGCAAAGTTATTATTGGCGCCACTCCCGCAGAATAAACCCGTCCTCCGGATGCATCTCGTTGGGGAGCGGGAGTATTGAACCATCAAAGGCGAAGAATCCTCCATTCTCCTCCACGCCGTGCACCATCCCATTAGGTTCTGGTATGATGAAAGGCAAAGCGTTGGAAGAAGGAAAAATACTACTAGGTCCAAAAACAAGGTGTTCTTGGGAATTCAAGTCGGTACCGAAGCTCCACCAGATACAGCATGGAAGTCAGAGGTAAGATGATCGTCGGAGATCACCGTGGATCGCCTGAATCATCATTCGTTGCGAAGCTGGGGTAGGACTCATAGCGCTAGGAAGGTAGACGAGGATCATAACCCACGTAAGCGTCATCGTCGCCAAAGGGGCAAGCGCGTAACTTGCAGGAGGAGAAA